ATATATATATATATATATATATATATATATATTTGGTGAGTGTTGGATGTTATGTAATTAAATGTGAATTACAAAATTGATGTGTATGATGATGTTGTGCATGATTTGTTTATGATCCATTGGTTTATATGGGAATATTGGTGTGTGTGTGTGGCATTGAGATAAATTGAGAATGTTGTGTATGATGCTTCGACACAGTTGTGTGTGTGACACGGTACTGGACGTGTGATGCATCGGCACAGACATGTGCGTGATACGATATTGGTTGTGTAATGCTTTGGCACAGTCGTATGCATGACATGGTGCGAGACATGAGATGCGTTGGCACAGGCATGTGCATGATACGATGCTAGTTATGTGATGTTTGGGCACGGTCGTATGCGTGACACGGTACTAGATGTATGATGTGTCGGTAAGGTTGTGTGGATGATACGATGCTGGTAGTGGAATGCATTGGCACAATCGTGTGCGTGACACAATGTTGGACGTGTGATGCGTCAGTAGGGGCGTGTGCGTGATATGGTACTGGATGTGTGACATGATGTATATATGATTTGTAATGAGATAGTGAAATGGATTGATTCAGAGTTGATGATGTTGAGCATGTTTGAATGATGGATATTGTATTATTATATTATTGTAAATTGAGATTGTTTTGTGAAAATTTTTTACCGTATTTTTCATATAGATGCCTTCTTTTCTTATTGTACGTTTTGTGGTTATTTTTAGGTGAGGAAGATTTGAACATGAATGACATTCAAGGTGTCAATAGTTAAGTCATAGGATTGCTCTGATAATGTAATGTCGAGGCAAGAGATTTTAGATTATTCATTTTATTGTAATTAGATTTTATATTTCTTTGATAGTTGAGTTTACAAACTTATATTTTCTAATTTTTGTTTAAAATTATTTGGACAGTTGAAAGTATTTTGGTATATGAACCATTTTACCAATGTTAAATTACATGGTAATTCAAGTTTAGTTAGATTTATGCATCTCTTAGGCACGTTGTGTTCAAACAATCCCATCTTTGAATTTTTTTTAATATTTTAATTTATATTCAAAAAAATTATATACTAATAAAATGCATGTATGTTTATTTTAAAATTCTATTTAAGTACTTTCAAATTTATAAATTAAGAAATTAACTTTTCTAAAATTATACAAATTATCAATTAAATATAAACACATTTCATTTATATATTTATTTATAACATAATTTAAAGAAGTGTTAAACTTTAACTAAATATAAAGTGAATATAATATTATAATTTACCAAAATTATTTTATTTAAATTAAACTCTGTATATACTTAACTTTTATAATATTAAAAATATGTTTTAAATATAAATAACTTTATATATGCTTAACGTTACATATAATTTACTTTAAATATTAAGTTCGGTTAATAACTTAATTTTTTAAAATAAACAAATATTTTTAACATATTTAATAATTTAGTTTATGAAAAATATGATTGAATATGAAATATGATAAAAATTGAATAAAATTAATTTTTTTTTACTTATAAAGTTTTATAATAAAATATGAAAAAAAATGTAGAAATTTATATTAGAAGGATTTTTTTTAGTGTAATGATATAAATTTCATACAAACAAAAATAAATTATTTAAAGTATTATATTATGATTTATTTAAATTTTATTTGTTTAAATAATATCAGAATCAAATATATTTTAATTTATTTCATATTGTAATCGTATATTAACTGTTTTTTATTTATACTTTTATAATAATATATAAGAAATTTTAACAAAGATGAACTTCAATATTATATTTTAATTGAAGAAAATTTTAAAATAAATAAATTAGCTAAAATTTTATATTTTTTAAAATTGTGTTAGAATTAAATATAAATATTAGTTATATTTATATTTATATTTATATTTCTTTAATTGTATATTTATATATTATTTGATATTGTAACGTATAAATTGATTATCAAAGTGAATAATATTTAAAATAAATTATATGTAATCTTAAGCATATTTGAAGTTATTTATATTTAAAATATATTTCTTTTATATTATAAAATTTAAGTATGTATAAAGTTTAATTTAAATGAAATAATTTTTTTGTAAGGTATAATATTATATTTACTTTATATGTAGTTGAAGTTTAATATTTCTGTAAATTTATATTAAAAATAAATATATAAATTAAATATGTTTATATTTAGTTGATAATGTGTATAATTTTAGAAAAATTAATCTTTTATTTATAAATTTTAAAGTATTCAAAACTAATTTTAAAATAGACATACATTTTATTAGTATATAAGTTTTTTTACATGTTTTTTGAAATATAAATTGATATATAAAATTTTTTCTTAAGGGTTATTTGAACACATAATATCTGAAGAAGACGGTTTGCGTTCAAATTGACAATGAACACAAAATATCTACTATTTTGTGTTCAAATGACTCATCTTTAAAAACAATTCTTAAAGGAGAAATTCTATGGTACTCATATTATTTGAGAGGGTACCGGTACAGTTTTTTTATATTTTATATTTTTAATAATTTATTTAAATAATATTTATGATATTTTATTTTTTTAATTTTTAAATTATTTAGTCATTTTATTTTATTTTATATATTCTAATTTATTTGTAATAATATTATTATATATTTAAATAGTTTAATTTTAATAATTTTTTAAGTATATTTTAGATCGTGTAATTTTAATAATTTTTTATTTCTACTATTTATTAATTTTTTTCTTTTTTAATATTTTATAATATTATTGAAATCTTATAATTTTAACCACTATAATTTTATCTTATTTTTCATTTTATAAATATAATTTAGATTATTCATTTTATAATTAAATTAATTTTTTTTATAAGTTTACATAAAAGAATGTATTGAAACTCCTCAATCTTTGAGGATAGCGTAACAACTTCCTTCTTAAAGAGGTTGTGCCGAAAGATATATGTATTTTTTGTACTTCAAATGACGTTTTGTTTGTAACATTGCTTGCATGACATAAATAATTTATTTTGATAATTAATTTCTTAAATAATTTATTTTTTGTATTTTATTATTTTATTTATTTATTTTGACTAAAAAGGTCCAAAATCTCCCGGTATTTTATTTTACTTTATTTTATATTAGTGTATATTTTATTTAATAAAAATATTTAAAAATTATCAATAAATTAATATTGTATTTGATTTTTAAACATAAAAATCTTGAATTCAAGTCCTATTCATCGAATAATAATTAAATTTTAATATTATTTTTTATTATTTAAAAATTTAAGGAATGTTACATGTGATCACTGCTCTTCCCACACCGAGCAACTCAAGTGGCTACGAAGCTTTAATTTCTAGGATATTTTCGTAGTATATTCTCTAGAAACATTCCATTCACTAAAACACGCTATTAACTTGATCACATCTTATCATGAATATCACCATCAACTTCAGTGATTCCAGAGGTCAACGCAATATAATCATGTATCCAGCTCCCTCCGGCAATCATGGTGGGGGCAAAACTTGCGAGTCAGAAATTTCTGCTGAAGGATTCAGCATTCCACAATGACCCACATTCCTTTCTCTTCATAAGCAGCACTTAGCTCTACGAAAATTGGTAAGGAAATTAAGAAAACCATGTATTTCATATACAAGATACTGCTCTTACTATTCCTATGCTTTTGGGGTGCAAAAGCTGATGACCCTTTAGGGGAATTTTGCAATAGAAACACCAATATTAGCAAAGGAGGAAAATTATCAGCAAATATTGATAGTCTATTGCCCGAAATAGCCCTCAAAACTCCATCCACTGGCTTTTTTGCCACTACAATTGGTAAAGACCGAGACCAAGTTTATGCACTGGCTCAGTGTAGAGGAGATGTTAGCACTCAAGATTGCTCCAAATGCATTCAAGATGCAACAAAACAAATCCGCCAACGCTGTCCGAACCAAGCCGATGCAAGGATTTGGTATGATTATTGCTTCCTAAGGTACAGCAACAAGAGTTTCATTGGTGAGGTTGACACATCTTTTGGTATATTCTATTTCAATGTTGAAAATGTGACTGACCCTGAAGGTTTTAACAAAGAGCTTGGGGCTCTGATGGATCACATTAGAGCACAAGCTGTGGTGCCAAAAGAGGAAGGGCTTGGGAAGGGAAAGGCTGTGTTGTCTCCATTTCTGACACTCTATGCGTTGGTGCAGTGCACAAGGGACTTGTCTGAGATATCATGTGCTCAGTGTTTGGCTATTGCAGTCAACAACTTTCCCACCTTTTGCAGCAATCGTAAAGGCTGTAGAGTGTTGTACAGTTCTTGTTATGTTAGATATGAACTCTACCCATTTTTCTTCCCTCTTGATTCGAACAAAACAGGACCTTCCAACACAGGAAGAGTCACCGTTTATGCTTAATTAAAAGTTTAAAGCCATTCTGCTATGCTAAAAGTAGCATTGCTCAATGTTTGGCTGGTATCAAGTTACCCTTTAGTGGAAATATTACTATCATCTATTGAACATGGAAGATGCATTTGGAAAAGCTTTGCCACTAAAATAAAGAAAACTAAGTCAACCAATAAGAAGACTTTTAGTTGGCACTAATCAAAGTATGTAGTTATATTATATAGTCCAAAAGCTTTATTTCTGTTTGGTGTATGTTATGTCTCTGCAGACATGTGACATCTTTTCTGTTTTACATCTAAGACGTTTCCTTATTCCAAATTAAGAACGTACCCAATGGATCCATACAACAACCCAAGGCCTAAAAGGTCTATTAAGAAACCTATATAGCTGGATCAAGATCGTTTTGTCTAATTCTCAGCCCACCACGTGGATGGTGCTGATTATGTTACTGTTAGCCCTTGTGGCTATTTTAAATTGTATCTGCCTCCATTCCAATATATGAAATGAAGTAACTTAATTCTGTTTAGTTTGTTTTGTGAGTTTCATCTTAACAAATTAGTGTTTTCATTAGCATATTTTATTCCTCCTAAACCTTCCTCAAAAGAGACCCTACAATCCATTACCATCAAATTAAATACACTCTAAACACAGATTGAAAATCAACACTGATCCATGATGGTTGTCACCAACCTGCAACAACAAATTGGCTACCGTCATGAATCCCTCGCCGATCGCCACCATCATGGCTGAAATATGGGAAAAATTGACTTCCTTTTTGTTGGACACTCTATAGTCATTCCACTTAATACAACTACCATACCCTTATTAGAAAATATTATTAGAAAATGAAATAAAAATAGTATTGTGTTGTGACATTGGTCACTGTGTTGAAGACAAATTTCGATAGTCCTTCAGTGTAATCCAAAATCCGATTTTGCTCTTCAAGGTTTACATAGTATCTATTTGAATCCATGCACTTAAGGTCAAAACCATTAAATATATAATAGACCCAATGAAATTTTATGCTGTCTTATTTTACCAAGGGTAGCTTAGTCCTATGTTATTTGTTGCCTTTATATTTTCTTAATAATCATTTTATTGTAATTAGTTTTGCATCTAATTGATTAATAGTACCTTGGTACTATTTCTTTCTATTCTTAACATGGCACGAAGAGCAAGTTTCGATTCAGGGTATTACATCTAAGAAAGGGTTATTTCTTTGAGTAAGAATAACAATCGTTAAGAAAGAAAAGAGGAGAGGAAGAGTCATTTTCGTTTTCTCACTACAAAAAAATCAAGTTTTAGCGACCACCAAAATCGGTTGCTATTTAGGTAAATTCAGTCTCTGTTACATTCAGCGACCGAAATAGCGACCGAAAAAATCCGTCGCTAAAACCCTGGTCGCTATTTTAAATAGCGACCGAAATTTTTTCCGTCGCAATTTAGCGACCGAAAAATCAGTCGCTAGACATTAAAAATCCGTCGCTAATATTTTGGTCTCCTAACTTCTCGAGACCAATTTTGCGACCGATTTTTTTTGTAACAATTTCCGTCGCTAATTTTTTTTATTTATTAATAAAAATATTTTAAAAATCAGTCTCTAAATCGGTCGCTAAAAACCTGAAATAGCTACGAATAAATTCGGTCGCTAAAAATTTGAAATAACTACAAATTATTTTGGTCACTATTTCGGTTGCTAATAACTTGAAATAGCTACGAATTATTTCAGTCGCTATTTCGGTCGCTAAAAACTTGAATTAGCTACAAATCATTTCGGTCGCTATTTCAGTCGCTAAAAACTTGAATTAGCTACAAATTCTTTTGGTCGTTATTTTGGTCGCTAATGTTAACCAGTATTTTTAAATTCTTTTTAAATTATAAATTTATACCTGTTAACGAATATGAAATTAACAATATATTTATTACACAATTTATAATAATAAACTAGAACATACTAAAAGACATAATCTCATCGATGTAAATTTATATTATAGTGAAAACTAAATAAAATATAAGCATGTCAATATAGTATGCTAAAAACACAATAATAACATAAAACGTTTAAACTTCAACAAAGTAATAGTGAAATACAATAAAATATCCTGAAACAAGTAAAATAAAGAAGCTTAATTAAGGGTCTTCTGCTATGTCATCAAGAGCATCATCAACAGCATGGTCAGGATCATCTGGGGTAGTACTCGGTGCAGGAGGAGTTGGCCTTAAAGGGTCAATGTTGAGATGGCGTAATATATAATGCATCTGCTCATCATGTTGTCGTATATGCTCTTCCAATGCTTTTTCCTTTGCTCGACTTCAATTAGACGCTCCTTATATTTCTATTAAAAAAATAAAAAATATTATTTCAACAAAAATTAAAATATCGCTAATATTCTTTGATTTTAATTCAGTAAATAATTGTTATTTTACAGCAAATAATTCAAAAAATAATTCCAACAATTTTTGTAAAAAAATGAATTGATAGATTCACACCAGGAGAGTCCATGATATTTGGAGAGTCCTCTTGAAAAGCCACTGCTCTTCCTACAGAAAGCATCACGCATCATGCATCACGCATAAGCAGCAGAAGTAGGATACAATGCTAGAAGGCATTGTGAAGTATATATACACACACCTTCATAAAGATGCAAGGTACTCTTCTCTAGACACATTCTGCATTTCTTCAAGATCTCTTGTATAGTCAGTCACCTGCAGCACACACATCAAAAGTGCTATAAAAAACATTATTTTCACCAGAAGAGATTAACTAACACCCTCTTCCTATCAAAGAACACAGAATCTATAGTCTCAAGTGTCGAAACCTAGTTCCTAAGAAACTATTTCAATCTTATGCTAGTGATACCTTAGGCAAAGATCTCATAGATACCATACCCAATAGTCAATAATTAACATAAAATTAGTAAGACACAATTTTCATTATTAACATACCATCATTATTAACATACCTTCCTTGTGAAGGAAAGAAGAAAGCAACCAGTTAATGCCTCTTGGTCCAATCACAAAGCCAACAAGATTAGCCACCTTTCAAGAAATGTCACGGTATTTAAATTAGATATGGTTACTCAAGTCAACATGTAAACTAAAAAACCATTTACCACTCTTTGAATAATCACTTCCTTTTTGGTGTGGATTTGTGAGATAATTGGCTCAAGTATCAACATTTGAGTGTAATTGGTTCCACTAGTATTTACGTGTAAAATTGAACATCAAATTTGTAGTATAAAAGGTTTTGCACTGGATCAATAGGTTCAACAACTGGCCCCATTAAATGTCATTCTTTTACTCTCTCAGGTAGCCAAAAGCCAAAAACATTGACGTGGATGTTACATAAAAAATAAAAATAAAAATTTATGATATTCATATATGCTCTAAGGGCATTCAAAGACAAACCATGAGGCAAGTAATTGTGACTGCACCGGCAACAACACTGAGTTCACGAAATATGCACTCTCCTAAAGAACTTCGGGCCTGATAATCAAATTTATCTCCATGTTAGACAGCAAGAATCATTCATTTACCGTTGGATCGAGTTGATTTTTGGATAGCAAGTTCTTCTCAAACACATCTTCATTTTCAGTGGTTCGATCAATGAAGGAAGGTATTTTGCAAAAGTTATTTGGTTCATACAGTACCTACTCTATTTGGATTTCTTAATCTCTTAGGTTCTTATTTGTGAGATCTTGTGCTTAACTTTGTTTGGGTGATTATAAGTATATTTTGAGATCTTGTTAGAGACTATTATTTGAAAGTTTTGTTGTACTTAGTGTAACGACCCGGCTAGTCACTACACACGGCATCGCACACTAGAAACTCCAGACAGATAGAACAAGTATATAAATATAGGATCTAGAATATATAAATATACAAAGTTCTAGTCTGACTAGGGTTAAAGTGTACCAAAGAAAATTACAACCAAATGCTACTATCCCAAGTAGCTACCAGCAAAATATCCACACAAGCAAAACAGCTCCAAGGTCCGCCGGAGACTCACCACTAGACGCCCACCTATTCCTGTTCTGCTCCCATACACAGTATGATCATCGCAGTCCAAACAC